CGAGAGCCCTTTGTTCCACTTTCCAGTCTTGTTGTTACCATGGCGACTTCGTCCAGACGGGCAGGAAAATGTTGACAAGTAACAAAGAACTGTGGAAAAAAAGCACGTAGCCCCCAAAACACACACGGCGTAAGAAATAAAGGTCCGTTATACAGAATGGCACGGGGATTTCGAAGTAATACTATTAGTCCGGGCAAGAAGCAGGCCAAGCAGAGAACTCCGCGTGCCGTGGCCGGGTGATGAAAGCGCGAGCAGCCCGGCTAAATATTATTGGTTTGCCTTGTTAGAAATCATGGAGGCGGAAAACAGACCGATAAACAGCCGATATGCCTCAAGCTAGCAGGGCGCCACTTTTCGAATACTGCACTGCCAACACACAATTCCATGTTCAGTCAATTATATATTGCTTTCCCCTCTCGGTGTTGAAAGAGTTACAGAAGAAACATGAATTATTCAAAGAGAGCTGATAATTGCTTCCTTTTTGGATAACATCCAATAGGTTTTCATGCCCCAAGTGGAAAGGGGGCGTCCATATTTCAATTTGAGAAATTCAATATCACCATTAGTTTCTCGTTGTTACTGAAATGCACGTTTCAAAACAACGGAGCCACGTGGATGGCTTTGAATGTATAAAGTTTGAATGAATCTGCAGGTCCACTGCTAAAAACCAAAATGGAATTAAAAGAACGAGTTTGAAAAACTTATAACTTGAGGGGCCATGTTGAAACGTCCGACGGAAACAATGCAAAATCGGAACAGCGGGGGTATTAATCTCTCAAACACGTGAACTGTCATAAATGTTCGAATAAACTGTTCTTAGTTGTGAACGAAATGAGTTTTTGACTCTGTGGTAAAAATAATCACAAGACACAGACAATTAAAGCCATTTTGAAGTTTTAATTAAGGACGAACATGACGGTAAAACCTGTAACTTAATAGAATAACGACCTTCATTCTCCTGAATAACACAAATTGCCCAGAGTTTGCCCACCAAACACTACCACAAAACTGCCTCTTTTGTGGCCAATTAGCATTTTGGCTATCCCTCCAATTACACCCATCTCCCCTCCCCCGGGCAATGCCCTACTTCGCCGCCGGCGCCAGCGCCAGAACTCCCGGCCAAGTTGCCGAAATGCAATACCTAGGGCGGCCGTGAGCCCCTGGCTACCCTACACCCCTCGTCCGGGTCTCAATGCTCGCCTTGAAAGTAAAGTAGGCCGCCGCTGGCCCCCCTCAACCAATCTTACCGCTCCGCTGGACATAAAAAGCGCCGGCGGGGATGTGTTAGTAAACATAAAAGAGAGCTTCTCGCGTGCGTGCAGTTCCGTGTGGAGCTCGGGACGGCACCAGGTGCTCGCTGCGATCGTGACGGGGGCAGAGAGGCGCAGGCACCGCACAGCGAGCGCGTAATACGACCCCCGCTAACCGAGTCAAACCGGACTCCTGGGCGTCCGTGGAAAACAAGGGACAGGGGTTTACAAGGGGAAAAAACCCAACACCTCCAGAGAACCGTGAAGTCTCCGGGGATGGCTGATGTTTTCTACAGTACAGTCAACTTCTGGGGTTTTTCTTTGGACAGAGATTCGTCGGGGGGTCTTTGGCCCTTCAGGGAGCCTCGGACGGTCAATTATTTCGGCATAATCGACGGGCCAGATTAAAACGCAAGCGTTGTCGTAAGCGGAAACAACTCTTTCGCGTGCACTCATTTCGGTCTCCAACAGAGCATGGGTCATATCAACATTTTTCATCAAGAAATCAATTGCAGTCTGCTTCAAAAGCAGATTCCATGTTCTAAGCCCGAAACCGGCTGTAAATAACTTACACACCAAAATCTAACCTCTTCCAAAATAGCCCTTGAATTTATTGAGAGAATATTTGAAAATCTCCACGAGTCCCCGCCACAGATTAAGACATGCAGAAGACAGCATTTCCTTTACAATACCAAGCGGGTTCCTTTATCTCTCCATTTTTTTTTCAATTTCGCCACATGCACCCATGAATACCTTAACCACTATAAATTCACGACAGGTTACAGCAAAAGAATAAATACGCTAGGAGCTACATTCCAAGCAATTTGAAAGGATGAGTTTCACAACGATTACACCGACTCTGCAAGCACAAGCTGAGTTGATTGGTCAGATAAAATAAGCACCGTCAAATGATTGGTTAGACTAACAAAGCTGAAAGCATTTAAAACTAATTATAAACGCTCCGAGAAGTAAACATCAGATTTCATTTGTGCATATTTGCATATGATTATCAATACTGCTATGAACAGAAATTCCTCAAGTTGTAGAATAAAATAAATCTCTAAGTAAAGAACGTAAACTTCCATACTGGTGGGCGTTCGATGTATGAATGAAATGTAAACACAGCTGCATTTCATTCAGCGTAAAAGACGTCATATAATGGGGGCGATTCATAAAAGTGCGCCTCCAAGAGTTTGCAACGCGTTGGCCAATCACAACGCGCGAGATTTGTCGTCCTTTTCCAAACGCGCATTGGGTCGACAGATTTCGCGCATAGTGATTGGCCAACGCGTTGCAAACTCTTGGAGGCGTACTATTGTGAAACGCCCGTATTGGAAAATTAAAATGAGGTTGTATTTATATTCCTCGAAATATATAAACTAACAACCTTCCCCAATATGCATTCACGTGCACGAGATTCATACAAACATAGAATTTTACAGTTGCATTATTTACGATGTTTTGAACATCACCTTTTCAGCAAAATATTTCAATTCACTACCGTCTTCTTTGCCGACGGTAACTCAGTAAAACAGTCCAAAATCAATCTTGCAAAGTATCCACCGATTTGACAAAAGTAAAAAAATGTTCAGCCTTACATGTATGTCGACATTACTGGAATTCATCCACGCTATTGCTGTGTGACACTGAGACATTTATAAAGCAGTCGTTGTGTACTAAACGACATCTACCACATAGTTGTGGATAATCCTACATTACAGCAAAATACAAAAATAGTGTGCTATTTTTAAACTCTAAGACTGAGGCTCAGTTCACTTTGTAAATTCCTGATAAGCCACATAAAAATATTTAGTTTGTGGCAAACAGTAGAATAGAGGGCATCAAGGTGTCTGCTTTCCCCTTTCTCTGGACCAGAAGTTTAGCTTGGTCAGACATTTACCAAACTTCTTTTCAAGTTCAAACAAGCTGGTCTTCCTTTGCAAGTGAATATCCAGGGGACGCTACAAAGACATGCCACGGTCGATCTGAGAAGAACAACTGCCAACCTCGTACCAGTGAAGTGCGATCCCACAGGAGAATTCATTTTCAGCATGTCCTTTCAATTCATGCAAAACCAAATCATGGTATAACGTATATTACCCTATATATTAGTAAAAGATCAAATACCTCACATAATCGGTTATTATTACCAAAGACAAAGCCCACTACAAATTTATAAGGGGAAGATAACTGGGTTTAGAAGTAGGAGGAAAACCCACAAGTTAAAGATCAAACGATCAGAGCACCAATTCACAGAGATTCAACAAAAAAATAAACATCTATTTCACTTATAACCACTGCCCCTTCTAACTAATGGCGCCAGTCACAACTAACTGCTTTGAGTTTTGATTGGGCAGATATTGTTTAACCCATGACCTGGGGTGAAGGCCTCTACATGCACAATTAAGGCTGCATCCAAATCTCTAGTCTGGAGCTAGGTCTAGGTCTACGCTCCATTGGAAATGTGTGGAGATGCGTAGACAATAGACCTAGCCGTAGCTCAGGAAGCCCGAGTCGGAAACGGCCTAAGAATGTACAGGCACTGATCAGGGAGGTGGCCTACCCACAAAGCTTTGTGTTTCCTTTGTGGGGCACTTGGATTATGCAGTGGCCACCAGCATAATCATCTTGTAGCTCCTCAGGCGAGGAAAACATTCCATATTTTTTTCTTAGAACGGGCCAGTTCAGCCCTGAGGTGATGATTCAACTACACACTGTGCGCGCTGGTGTTTGTATGGCTCAGCAGGATTTTTGCAGATCTGAGTAACAGCGCCCTCTTGTGGCCAAATTATGAAAGTCACAGGAATAATTTCCCTCTGAAACTAAAATGAGATACAGCAATACAGTAGTCAATGCTAGCATGAGTTGACTTAAGGAGTTGATTTTATAGTGTATTTTAGACTTGCTAGCACCGTGTGCGTAACACCAACACCAGGCTTATTTTATGGGAATGTGGGATCGTTTCTAAACATATGGGTCACTTGCACGATGTCCTGTGAACGCTTATGAATATTAACATGCCTACTGGAACAGAGGCCACAAGTCAGGGCAAAACCTCCCTGTTGTGATGTTCTGCAGAACACTTCGATACACACAAGCCCTGGACGCTGATAGACAAGCAGTGCGATCAGAGCATGCTGTCCCGCAAAGTCAACTTGACCAGTCAAATCACAGTCAAATATCCTGTACTTGGTAGCGTTGGTCTGATTGCTCCAAAGATACTTCTTGACCGAACTGGGCTTGAAGCTTTCCACATCATACCAACAAATGAAGGAAACTGGTTCCCTGCCTGTAGCAGCAACGGGTACAGTTTTAAAACTGGCTCCTCATTTTATGTAAAACAAGATTTCTGCATAGCAGCTTCATTAAACTTCCCTGAATGAGCCACAAATGTGAATGAGGTGCATTTTGGGATCAGTCAGAATCATGATAAAGTGACCATTTCTCTGGTAACTGTTTAGTTGTTTAAATCAACAACAGATTCACAACACAGCATGGTTTCCTGGCTTGAATTGCTACAAAAAAATTCTAATTCAAGTTGTTAAAAACAATCTAGGTTTTAGCGCAGGTATTTTTTGATGCAGTGTCGTGTTTGAGTCCATCACAAGTCCCTGCAAGTCTTAAAGCCAATTTACAAGCTATTCAAAAGAGCTATGACAAAAGCATTCTTTCGTCACTGTTCACCCTATGACTAGCCTTGTGAAGGGACTTGTGACTGGCCTTGTGAAGGGACTTGTGACTGGCCTCGTGAAGGGACTTGTGACTGGACTGACCTCGTGAAGGGACTTGTGAAAGGACTTGGGATGGACTTGAATACAACACTGTTTTGAGGTCCGAAAAGATAAAATTCAGATGTCATCTTTGATTGGCATTACAGGCCGCCGTCATGAAGAAGTTCAAGTACGTGCTCAAGCGCCTCACGCCTCGATTCCTCTTCGTCGTGTGCCCGATCTAGGTCTTGTGACCTCTGCCTCTGGTCATGGTACCTCTTGTCCTGATGAAGTCTCTTCGCGGCCAGCCTGCGCAGGGCCTCCGCCTTCTTGTGGACGTAGATGTCGTGGATGAGAGAACGGACCTCGGGATCTTGCAGGACTTTGTCAAACTGTCCCGTGTCGATGACTCCCTCCTGCAGAGGAGAAAAAGGGTCATACATGAGGGGATCTGAGTGACTTCTGAGGCTCAGTTGGAGCAGAGCTGTACGTGGTGAGACAGATCTTGGGTCCGCTTGGAGGTTATGGGGGTTAGATGTTAGAGGCTTTGTACAGGTCACTGCTGTGCCTAACACTTCAGGTCTGGGATAATCTTGACCGCTGCCACCTCCCAGCGACACCTCAAAGAACTTGGCTACAGCCTTTTCGGGTGCATTCATAGGCTAGCACAAAATTGACTTCCCGTAACAAAAGTGAACCCTGAGAGACAAAACTGAGTTCCCGAATGAAAAAATTGAAACACGGCTCAAAATTTAGCACGTTTTTGGACACCTCTTTTTACATTTCAGACCAGTGCATAATCAATACCTTTATATCAAAGCTAGAACATGGAAAAGTACCATTTTCTGTGTATAAATCAAGACCGACTATCTTTTTTTGACCTGGATTTTTAATCAGGTACCGCGGCAAACAACATTTTTGCTGCAGTCTTGGTCTGAGATACACGATCACATGTGCACATCGTCTATTGCCTGAAGCCTTCCTGAAGTGCAAATTAAAGCCTGGTTTCCATATTGACGTAAGAAATGCAGAGAGCAACGCAATCAAGACGCAAACTTCAACGCAGACAGATGGAAACATGCCAAACGGAAGTATCGCCAATAACGCAAACAACCCCCAGACGGATCAGCAAAGTTGAGCCTGGTTCAACAAAGCCGACTGTCTACGTTGAGTTGCTGAGTAGGCCTAACACATACGCTGGCATGACCGGTGTACAACGATGTTTCTCTGGCTTAGCACAACTCATTTTGTCCATCTTCTCCTTATCACTAACATGGGCAGCCCCAATCGTCGACAAAATAGCTGACCATTAACAAACTACATCAAACTAGAGTATCAGTTTGGCTTCAAGAGGCAACATTGCCACATAAAAAGTGCATTTTTTTGCGAAAATTGTCCGAGTTTCGGGCGCCCTTTTGTTTAATTTTTGGGGTGGAAAGACGTCACGCCACGTCTCTTCTGCCTTACAGACGACCCCATATGGAAACCAGGCTTAACACACCACAAGTCACTTAGTACTGCACATCTTGGCATGTATTCCAACATGATCGTACTTGGAGTAAAATCACCCTGAAAAAACGCAGATGCCACTCTTTTGTCACAGGTCAGTGATTTCAAATCAGGACTTGAGCTGTAAGTTGTTCTTCGTGTTAACTCATGCTCTGCATTCAGAGTTCCAAGAGCGGCTTCATGTTCTCTTTATGTGAAATGAGTTAATCCTTTACAAATTTAATAAAGACATTTCGATTGTTGACAACTTTGATCCTAGTTTATCAGTGACATTAATTTGTTAAATTCTTGCTGTTTTAATGTGATGTGATACATGATTGATCACTGACAAGTAAATTTTCAAATTATTACTTTAAATTATTATTCAAATGGCTGTAAACGTGCATGAAAACATCAAAAAGGCCCCCCTGGGAAATTGTTTACCAACTTGGCAATGGTTTGTATTGTAACTGAGCAACCCACAGAGACAACAGGCTCTATGAGGTCATCCCTTACTCTATTCTTATCCAGGTTGTGGGCGGTGTTCGGGGGTGGACGGACCCCAGCGGCGAGGTCGTCCAAGTCCACCACAATCTCCTCGTCGTCCGTCTGCTCATCGTTGAAGATGTCAACCACCTCGTCACTGTCTAGTCTTCCGGTGAATTCGGTGTTCACTTCGGGGTTGGCATCTAAAATGGAAAGAGCAGCTTTCACAATTGACTGTTCTCTGCTAATCAGTTTAATCCCAAAGTTACTTCCGAGCCAGATCTTGTTTGTAGTTAAGTAAACAATTGAAAATAATTGTATCAACAGTAATCATATTACTGAGTCCAGTATGTTGCAGCAACGTGCTCAGTTTTCCAGTGAGTCCTTCCAGAGATCTGAGTCGAATGAATGAGATCATGGCAGCATTCTCCAGTGACTGTTCAAGACTGACTAAGCACATATTTATGCCCTTATTAAATACTAATAAACCACATGAATCAAGTTGGCCTGTTATTAATCAAATCAATCTGAGATCAATGTGTTTGATCGATGCAGGAACGTTAACCCCCCTTGAGCAAATTCTGGGCCTCCAAAGACAGCAACCCTGGTGACTTTCAGCCGTCATACTTGACGCGCTAGCCAATCAGAATATGAAGATCAATGGTATCAACCACTTGCTGCCAGGGAACCCTGCTTCGGGCACCATGGGTTCATACGCAGAGCTGGGGTGCCTGAAATGGGACAAAAGAGCTGGTCTGTGTAACAAAAGACCGTACTTAGAACAAAAGACCTGTTGCTGGGAATTGCCATCATTGTTTTTGGCTAGCATTTTTCGAAGGTAATCTGTCCCTGTTTTTAAACAGTATACCAATGTTTTGGGCATAGCGCGCCCGTGGATTAGCACCGCGGACAACAGTGCTCCAGGGCCCCATTGATGAGCGACATACATGCAGCACCGCTGTATGCTAATCCAGCCGCATTTGAAAAGACGGCACTCACATTCACTGGGAACAAAGGAAATTATGCAACACCTCACAAATTCTGCGCTCTCTTTGCAGGGCGGCAGGCCTGTCTGAAATACTCAGGAGTCAATGAAGGTTGCCTGTCAGCTTAGAATAGCCACCTAACAGTCATTCGTGTGGGTGTAAACGTTCATTAAATGAAATGATGAATTTTTAAAGATATTTGAAAATCTTGAAAATGGCCCGTAGTTGTGCACTGCATTTTTAAAAGCATGTGCTTAATGGTACTATGTAAACTGTCTATGATTTGATTTGAATTGGTTCATTAAAAAAATTGTCACGGCCAGAGCCCCAACTGAGACATTTTTATAATTACACAAAGCTATAAAAATCACAAATGTATAAAGTTATTAAAATGAAAACGAAATTCACAAATATTATTAAAAATATCAACGTACAGAATATTTTAAAATATGAAGATAGAGAAAAAAATTTAAAACATCAAACCAGAAAAGGTTATGACCCTATAAAAGCATAAAAGACTGTTGATAACGATGCAACCGACAGCACACTAATCATTCCCTTACATGTATTAAACCAATGGGGGATGGATTTTAAAGATGTCATTTGTCACTGTCACTTTAAAATGACGGCGGCCGGGCTCTGCCTTCCTCAATCCTACAGTCCTTTAAAGCCTGCGGGTGGACCTGGAAAGATCTGAGAGGGCTCAGACTAATTCGAGGAGACAATATAGCTGCGGTGGTACCGCACTTGACGCGCAATATTTGACAAATCACGACTACCCTCCTGGTCAAAGAGTCACGTAACGCCTGTGTACAACCTGTCTACGAGCGATGTGCCACCACAAATAACAGCTTCTAATTCTAATCGTCAGGATGAATTTGACTCTAGGTTAATAGAGTTGAAAGACGCACCGTCAGAGTTTGAGGTCCCCTCATCTTCGCCGTCAGCCGTCCCATACAGGATCAGCTGAACGTCCATTAGCTCCACCATACTGTCGTGCTGTCGCGGTATGTCCGGCCACTTGGGCTTGGGCTGCACGTCGGGGGGTGTGAAGTGGTACATCAGCTCGAAGCCCCACGTCCCCGTGGGGTTCTCCCCCCAGTTCCTGACGGACATGAAGGGGAACCTGACCACCTCGTCCGTGGAGTTGTCGTGACGGCGCCGCGACAGCAGCTCCGAGGGGGTGCCAAAGGGGGACCAGACTTTCAGGGAGACGTCGCCACGGCGGGGAGCCTTGAAAGAGATGCGGACCAAGGTGTGCTCGAGCTTGGTCATGTGGGGGCAGTCCACCTGCAAATGGGTTAAATATGACGTCCCCTGCAACACAGACCTAGAAACGGAGGAAAAGCGACTAGTATCAGCTGTACTGATAATCACTTCAAGTTTGTCCAAGCATTCATCCTTTCTCTGTAGGAGTAATGCGAGTCCTATCAGTCAGCCAGATAAGCCAATAACCTCTGCACCAAGGGATGCCATGCCTTTACAAAGAATTCCAATGAAGTGAGATGGAATATTCTGTTTGCATATCACAGGACTAACCTGGCATTCCTTGGAGTGTGTTGCTGACCTCCTCTGGAGTAGTCAGGGATGAGATTGGCCAGCGTTAAAAATAGCTAAAAACAACCCCCAAAAGGCATAAAGAAGCTGAACTGTGCAAATCTCCTGTACTTTTGTACACAGCCAGTGAGGAAAAAAAGCTGAAATCAGCTAAAAAGCTGAGAAATCTCGTCCCTGATTAGTGTTTTGACAGCAAAGACAGGGGCAGTCATGATACCTACCTCTCTGTCACTACTGACGGAGTAAAGATGCCTAGGTCCAAAATTGCCAAACTGATTTGAATAATTAACCACTGCAAGTATAGTTGGGTGGAAAATTCAGGCACTACGATCCGATCCGAGCGGGAACAAAAGAGGGCGTATTTTTAAATGAAAACGACAGTCCTTTGGTGGGAATTCAGTGTGTACAAACAAGTTTATGCATGTTTGGCAAGGGGGAAAGCTGAGTACGCGCGACAAATTTATGCTGGAATGCATGGTCTTCGCCGTGCACCGAATGCCCTGTACGCAGGGACCCAGTTGTAAAACTTCTCCCAAGCCTGTCTTTCTTTCCTTGGAGAGGGTACACTTCAACTCGGGGTGGACAGAAGAACGGGTCAAAAAAAGGTCGCTCAGTGCATATTCGTTTTATAAGCACTCACTTGTCGATCTTGAAAGTGGGCACTTCACAGATCTTCTGCTTGCCTACGTTGCTCCACGTCAGTGCCAGCTCCACCATCTTGCCAGCATCCAGCATGCCGAAACCAAACTTCTCGTTGACATGGAAACCGGCGCCGTTGACATGCCAACCCGACTCCACCGTGTTGGGAATGTGCGCTCCGTTGACAACAATATGCTGGATGTCTCGCCAAGTTAGGTTAGGACTGAGAACGTGTCCGGGCGCAAAACAAAAACCAAAACAAACCATAAACGTGAGCATACGTGAGGAAAAGACGAGCCTTGTAAAACACCCGAAATTTAGACTCGGTGTTTTGTTTTGGATCAAGAAGGCCTAATCATGAAACTGACATACCAATGTTATACAAATACAACGTTCTATGATGACATCATATTTGAGATGGAGCACTGGTATTCCACATGTGCATGTAAGTGTTGGTCTCTGTTTTTATTCGCCCGAAAACCCTCTTCGCAAACTCCGCAAATTCTAAGACCAAAACGCACATACGTCTCAAGTAATCGGCAGCTCACAAAAATGAATTGAAAATGGTTTTTCCCCTGCCAACTATTGCCCCAAAACATCTGGTTCATGTTACTGCTTATAATGTGACACAGAAGTTAGCCGGCAGCTCGCGCGCATGGTTGCCAGAAAAAATTTTAACAAATACATTGGCTGGTGTCAGATTCTACTCACTTGGCTTGAAGCACCAACGCAAGGAGACCGGCTGCCAAGGGTGCAGCACTTGATGTCCCGATGAAATTATCAATGCACGCATCGTGGATATCTGTTGTGATCTGCCAAAAAAAGAAGTAAGCATTGATGCACTCATCGCGGATATCTGTTGTAAGAGGTACGCACTGGCCCAGCTGCCCTTAATCATTCAAAAAACTACCACTTGACAGTCGCCTGATTCCTACTGCTTTTTGTGCACACACCCAGAGAACTAGTTCAGGGAGGCTGATCATGTGTGGCGCCCTCACACAGCCGGGTGATACTGCCAGACTTCATACCAATAGTCCCTGTGCAATACTCTTCCTGAGTTATTATTAAGCACCTAGGCTGGACAGAACGACTCGCATGGGTCATCTTTAGTAAAGTCCAACTGAGTAACAGACTCCAGCTCAAGCTACTAGTCTTGAAAAATAATTACGATGTCGTAGGAATAAGCACGACATTGCACAAATGTTAACGACTAGTTGTGAATAAATTCACACAGTCGCAAAAATAATTTACAAATAGTCGGGAATAATTTCATGACGTCTCAAATCTATTTGCGACAAGTCGTGAATAAATTCACGACGTCGCCCAAAAGTTCATTACTGTTTGTGAATTTCATGTCCCTTAAGGGCCACCATAGTTTAGGTTTAGAGTAATTAATTTGATACGTTGTGATAAGTTATTTCTCAATGTTTTAAACCACTTTTAGAATAAAAAAAAATGAAAGTGAGGCTTGGAACACAAAAATAGTCTGGCACCATCCCAGAACAGATTATGTTGAATATAACAGATTCGGGAAGCAAGATCAAAAATGGCTTTCCCACGAATACGTTGACTGGTTACTCAAATTCTCCAAATATACTTCCACAGAAAGCTTTGTCTCACCACAAGGTTCTGTCGTTTCTTCATTTCACCAAGAGAACTCCTATCGTTCAGGCCCCCCGACAGAATGACGCCCATGGTAGAGGGGCAGCTCTCCATGAAGTAGACAGACTCCCCCTTGTCGTTGATGGAGCCTACCGAGATGGTGTGGATGTTGCCGACATAGGCGTCTGCCCCACAGTCATCGTCATTGTGTCCCCCGTTGCCAGACGCCCACACATAAATAGAGCCCTTACCCCCTCGACCCTGATGAATAAAACATGAATGCGTGCTGTGTCTTTGCAATGGCATTTTTTTACTGCAACCCTTGAAAATGCACCGTTGGGTTTCTGCCAACCTTATTTAATTTTCTTGCTGTTGCTATGCGACAAGTTATTTTTGTGCCTTTTTGGTGTTTTCCTGCTTATACAAATTTCTATATTCATTTTAAGCATGACTGACATCATTCCTTGGAGAAAACGCTAAAATTGCATTGATGTGTGCACAATATCTGCTCAAATTTTTTTTTCTTTTGCTTTTCACAGCCTTAAATTTCCTTTTTTGATGATGAAGTGCTGTGTAAGCACACGATAATAAGACGACAAGCAATCCTTTGTCAATAGTGTTTTCAATGAACGATTGGGGCTGGTGGGGTTGGACCGGGTTGAGTTGGGCAGGGTTGGGTTCACCTGGGCTGGATTGGGGGTGGGTCTGCTGGGCCGGATTGAGTTTGGGTAGGGCTGGATTGGGTTGGTTGGGTAGGGTGGAGCTGGGTTGACTTGGGCCGAGTTGAGTGGGCAACGCTGCCGGGATGGGATGGGCTGGGTTAGAATTGGGTTGGGTTGTGCTAGGTTAGCTTGGGCTGGGTTGGGTTGGCTGAGGTGGGTTGAGTTGGCTGGGGTGGGTTAAGATAGATTAGACTGGGTTGGGTTGTGCTGGGTTAGCTTGGGCTGGGTTGGGTTGGCTGGGGTGGGTTGAGTTGGCTGGTCTAGGTTGAGTTGGTTGGGGTGGGTTAGGATAGATTAGATTGGGTTGGGTTGTGCTGGGTTTAGCTTGGGCTGGGTTGAGTTGGCTGGTCTGGGTTGAGTTGGCTGGGGTGGGTTGAGTTGGCTAGAGTGGGTTAGGCTGGATTAGATTGGGTTGGGTTGTGCTAGGTTAGCTTGGGCTGGGTTGTGTTGGTTGCATTAAGTTCAGTTTGGCATGATTGGGTTGTGCTAGGCTGGGTTAGGTTGCGCTAGGTTTTTTTCTTTTTTTACCTCCCTACAGCCCTGAGCCAACGCTTCCGTCATCAATTTCCCCGGTTCCCGCATCGTCTTGCCGTTGTCAGACGGACCCCAGCAGCAACTGTAGATGTCAACGTGCTGATTGTTAAAGGTCAAAGCCTCTGCTTCCATCATGTCTGTCACTCTGCCGTCTAGGAATCGTATGCCTGATGCAAAGATTGGAAATGACTCTGGCATCAAGAAATACAAGCAATGTGGCCATATACAGGAAGTATATGAACAGGGTAAAATACTGGAACAAAACATGGGTACCCGGATATATGTTAACGAAACCTCCAAAATGAAATAAACTCCAAAATTCAAAGAAAGAAAAACAAAGTGCAAATAGCACAACCAATGCATTCGCCCTGGTATTTGTCTATGAACATACGTATAAAGTCTGTGCTAGTAAACCATACACCATAGATTATATTTAAAATGTTCTCCCCAAACCTTGTTAAGCTTTTCCTTTTTATCGTTTGAAAATACAAAATGGCCACTGCGGTGGGTACCAGTAGTTAGTTGGTTGCCATGTATGCTTTGAAATATACTTGGAAACTGACGATGCTATCCAGCAGAAAATTGTTTTTCTTTTTGTGGTTTGTACTGTCTGGACTCGTGAAAATGATGGACACAATGGATGGCCGTAGATAAAACCAGGGGATAGGTTGACCTTCTATCGTTGAACACCATCCCCAGTCTGTAAAACCTACGGGACTAATGTGTTGGTCGGAATGTCTCACCTCCGATGCCTGCCTTCGGAGCTGCTCCTACCCCGCATATGCCATTGTTGGCGGCCGCGGCAATTTCTCCAGCACAGCGAGTGCCGTGACTGTGTGAAAGGGTCAACAAAAAACAGAGCATGTAGTCGTGAGCCAAGCGCCAAAGCACGTGCCTCTATCGATGTACGAAACACAATTGGTTTGACAACAAATTCTGGATGCTATCTCATGTTATCTTTGGAATCGCATGAACAGCTGTCACTGTTGTAGTCGAGACCACTTACGACCTTCACAAGACCACACAAAACCAGCACAACACCTCCAGTCTGAATTCACATCACAAACTATTCAAATGAACTGCAACAAAAGCATTCCTTTGTCACTGTTCTCACTGTTACTTGTGACTGGTCTTGTGTCTGATCTTGTGCATGGCCTTCTGTCTGGTCTTGTGTCTGGTCTTGTGCATGGTTTGGTGTCTGGTCTTGTGCATGGTCTTGTGCATGGTCTTGTGTCTGGTCTTGTGGTGGTTTCAATTGCAACACTGACAGCTGTGTTGCATTGTGTGTTGTTAGGCACTGTACAATTTTAAAGCGCCTGTTCAAATAAGAAAAGAAATGTTCGCAAGATTTGCGAAGTCATTGCTCCCATCCTCTGAACTTCGTAAGAGGCAAAATGTATGTGGGAACGTTCTCTTTGTTGTTTGGGATGTTACATGTGAGCAGAATTGGCAAAAAAAGAGCACATCAAGGCAACAGTTGCTATGGTTATTAAGCACTAGAATTTTGAAATTGCACAATTTGAACTTGCAAAAGAAATGTCTGCGGGGAGTAACCTGGCACACCTACTTGTTTTTACCCCCCACCTCAGCACGGTCATCAGGGTGTGGATCCGAGTCATTACCGTTGAAATCCCAGGATGCAAGTGGGTCCTGCAAGTGACCAAAAGCGTCAGTGTCATGTACCAAGGGGTCAAGATGTTGCCAGCAGTATAGCTGAAGCTGGTACTCTGCGACCTCTAATTCAGAAAGCTAGCAACAAACTAAATTGTGCGCGCGCGTAAAGACGAAAAATTGGGCAAGGCGTGTGGACCATTTGCTCTGCAAGAGCGGGGTACCAACCATATTACTCTGCAATGTACGCATTTCATTTGCCTGGTTCTTTTGCTGCTTTCGGCTTTCAATGATGCATTTGCTGAATGGTATTTTCTGTCGTAAAAAGCTTCACAAGATTGGCTCAATGTCTAGAAAGTTCTTTTGATGGTGAAGCATTGTCACTCTTGGCCCAGTCTAGATGCCTTGCTGTTGCTGTGCTGAACTCAACTAAAAATGAGCATATCAACAGCACAGCAATTTCTCCCAATGTCAACCTTTATAACTACAATTTTTAACAATCAAATGCAACAGTTTTGTAATGTAGTGGGGTATGTTAGCAGTTTAGAGATGTTTAACATTGCGGATTTATGCATAGTTCAATGAAAGATAAGTGTGTGATATCTTCGAACGAATGAAAAGGCCAACTTGTTACATCTGCAGCACGTCATGTAGAAAGGCGAAGTTCCACTGTCCTTCAGAATAGAGTGACTGACCTTATTGAACCACAGTGTACTGATGTGTTAACCACTTGCCGCCGCCAGGGTTTTCTGGTACTGGACACGTATTCTTTATACCCGTGGCCGGAGTCTCCAAAATCAGACGAAGGGAACTGGGCCTTGTAACAAAAGTCCGTACTCGGAACAAAAGACCAGGCTGCTGGGCATTACCAACATTTTTTCACTCTCAAAAGTGGAGATAATCCAGCCTTGTCTTGAGACAGTATACCACGGTTTTGGGGATTTAGCGCGAGCAGATTACCACCGGGGACAAAAGCGCTCCACAACCACAACGATGAGCCACAAAGTACCGCTGCACGCTAATCTGGCCCCTATTGAAAAGAGATCAGCAGCACACAATCTGGGCTCTTTTTACAAGGCAGCAGGCCTGGTTGAATACACCAGCGTCAATAGATGTTGTCTGTCAGATTAGAGTAGAAACCAGACAGTCCTTTGTGTGGGTGTATGTGTCCAGTGGGAAGAATTATTAAAGAATTTTGCCAACAGAAAAAAATGATAATTATCCTGCCCCAGCATCATCAACATTGATAACTGCCACCGGCGCAAAGTGGTTAAGCTCCAAACTGCCTAGCTGGACCAGCTCTAGGTGCCATGCTACTGCTGTTCCAAAATTTCAAATCATTCTGAGTTCAGCATGGCGGGGGTACAGTGTCTAGACCAGGCCTCAACTTCAGGCCTCCCCCCCTGGGTTCATTTGGCTGCAGGTGAAATGAAACCTAACATTTCGAGCTTTTCAGGTTTACGAAAAAGAAACAGGGCACTCAGGAATACGCCACCTCCATTGTACAATACATGCGCCAAGTACTGTGGGAGTGTGTGCTTTGTGAACACATAGGCACAATTTGCTATGAAATAAATCTCATGAATTGTTCATTGATCGAGGACAAATCCAGAACCATTTTTTTGGGGTGGGGTGGGGAGAAGGCGGAACTATTTTACGTTAGGAAACTTTTGATGTAATCTTTTATGGTCTTTCTGAGGGTGAGGCTACTGTTGGGGGGATCTATACACTTTAGGATGGGAAATAAAATAGACCAACAATTGCTGACTCATTGTTTTTCAAAAACATTTTTTCCCTCAGAGGGAAGGGAGATTTTTGCCCCACTGCCCACCCACCCCTTCCCTTGTCTGAGAACTGAAATACGAGACAAGCGAGTGAGTGATTTATGTCATGCACGTGTATTACATGTATATCTGTTTATGTACCATATACAGGGAAACAGGTCTGGTCACGTAGCGCTGTCGAGACACCGAATGAATTTGAGTCTCCACAACGTAACAGTATTTGATTACTGCAACCTTTTCAGGACGTTCAGTAATACACTGTTTTTCCCATGCCTTGTTTTGTGATCACTGGAAACCAGCGAGTTTTGGACTGATTCTGGGGTTCATTCATTGCATCAACTTACATAGTTGGCCTGCAAGTCTGGATGAGTTCCGTCTACGCCTAAAAGAGCAGTAAAAAAAAAAGAACAAAGATGGATTACGAAGGAGAAAACCAAGACCTTTCACAAAGTGACTGCTTGTGAAAAAAAAGCTTCACATTCTGATTAGATTCGGTAATTTTTCTCATGTTTTCATAAATAAACACAGAATGCCGATATGTGCAAGTTTTGCTGTGCAGGCATGGCATACATAGTGAGGACCTTTGCACAAAAGAAGTCCACATAGTGTAGGGTGCGATGGCATTGTGTGGACTTGCACACGTCCACACAATGTTTTGCCCTCTCTGAAAAACAGTTTCAGACGCATTTTGGGGTCATGGGTTTCCGGGGCCAAATGAAGAGGAACAGTCCAGGAAATCATCATCAAAAATCCAGCTCAAAGGAGTTATCCCAGTGGGAAAAAAGGATATGTTTGCCAAGTTACCTTAACCACAGGAGAACAAAGGAATGCCACATACTAAGCTTGGACGATATTTTGGTTTCAAAAAATGGTGGGTTTTTTTTTAATCACATCAAACAATACCGACTGGTGATTCGTGAATACCGAACCAAAGGCAAACTCAGTACAGAATTTCAATACTGTGAGGTAATTGTCGATGCGTTCAGAATGTCAACAGAACCCTTTTCTGAATAAAGGAAAACCACCTTAGCGTCATGTTTCGTTCCACTCTTCAGGGCACAAGTCATCCAGTGTCTTGCCAGCATTGTCACTTACAGTGGAGAGATACAATTGTCTGGCTCGACTTGGTAACATGAAACTTACGCAGCTGCCAACTCAACAGCCAAGAGCCTTCTATATCGCTGCTGTCATTGTGCACTGTACATGTACATGCATTTTGCAGTTTTGGTGTAGCTTACATTGTCTGAATGGGGGTTCCAAACAATGTTTTACACTGGGAGGTATGTTTTGTCACGGTCATAACCCAAGAATTGGGTCTGTCGTTTCCATTTTATAGTTGCAGGTGTTGGAACACTCATCATTCTTGCCTTAATAATTTGCCACATTTTGCATGTATCTCCACTTTGTATTATTCCATCTTATGAATAATATTCATTTCAAAATAAATAGATCAATTATTTGATAAATGATGAAGTGACACCCCACTTCATAGAACACCATGGTATTAATAAATACCAAAGTATTTTTATCGCAAGGTGCGTTTCCAAAGGAGAGTGACCGTTGGAAATCAGTCTGTAGTTAGTTGGGGATGAAAATATCGTAGAGGTATCAGCCAATGACTCGGCATTATCATTTTCAAATACTTGTATGTAATTGTGCTAACACTCACAGACTGACCATGACAGATCATACAAATGGACAAATGCCAAGAGTTCTTTGACAACTGGGGATAATGATGAATTTCTAGTAACTTGAGTACTTCTTTATTCCCTTTTCACAGCATCTGGAATAAAAGGAGTACTGAGGGCTAAAGAAAAAGAGTACTTAAGCCATTATTAATTCACCATCATCCCTTCTGTCCTCATATAGAATATGATCACGTGCATGCAACACTTAACTGTTAAGTCTCAATGATTAAAATTTGCAAGCGAAGCCAAGTTCCCCTGCAAGGATCGGCCGATCTTACCTTCAATCTCTGTGAACCTGGTTCGAATCCCACACATGCATACATACATACCAAGTTTCGGGCCCCACGAGGGCCACTTCGCACTCGAAGTGAAAGCGAACACGAACGTAAACGTTTCCGTTTCCAAAATATAAAAGGAAAGTCTGGAAACTAGATATACAACATTAACCAGTCGGTTGAATTTCAAGCCAACAAAAACATCCAAAATTCACAGGAATAAAGTTGGTAATTCATAAGTGATGTCAGTTCAAGTTCGCTTGCAAACGGCTGACTGGATGATTAGGGCCATGCATGAGCAGACACGCACAACATTCGTTTACACAATACTTGAAAAACCTGCAGAATTTTTACGGCCGCTCTTTACTTATACGAGATCAGTAAATGCATGTACATGTATAACTGTCTTTCAGTTTTACAAGAACAACAAAAACCCCACTTTAAATTCTACTCACGTGTCTTGAAACAGACACCGACGATGATTTTTTTCGGTTCATATTCATTTTCATCAACCAGGGTTCAAACTCTATTAGGTTTGGCTACTACTGTGATATCTTTCATATGTAATCCTTTCAATAAGAGATTTTGAGTAACGTACTTGTCCTGGGGCTAAACAGCTCCCAGAATGCATGTGAAACTGTTGTTGCAGCGACGATAACAGGGAAAGACGATTAAAAAAGTGAATGCTACACTTGACGTAAATCACAAGCCAACCGTAAAAATGCATAGCAAGTGGGAATTATAGCAGAAACAAAAAAAAACAGGGTGAGAAAACTTAACGGCATTCATGCATCCTGTTCTAAGAATAAACAAAAATATCATTTCCTGTGGCATCTATAAATACAGGGAAAATGTCACAGGGGACAGATTTCAATTGTGAAATGCTGAAGGTTGGAGATCAAAACAAAAGGTCGGAGTGTATTAATTCAATCGTTTTAAGTAATCTCTTTGGCAGGCTGACTTTCCATTAAGTTACAATTAACCTTTTCGCTAACATATACAAGTAATTTCTACAATGCTGGCCTTCAGAGTCAATTGCAGACACAGGTGCTTCTTAGCACAAAGGCCAACGAGTTCTGACTTCAATAGGAGGATTTCATTGAACTCTCGTTTGAAATTGGCATACCGGTATGTTCTCTGAATCCCCAGACTTGGGATTCCGTACTTCAAAATTTTGTTTGAAGCGAGGGATAACGAAATCCAGACAACAGCTGTTTGGACACTTCCTGCACAACTGATGTTTCACAGGCATTACATGCAAATTGTGTAAGGGTCATTCCATGCATAAGGGATCTGAACTGTGACAGTTTTTTGTCTTGGTAGCATCTGATCTGCGTAATTTGACAACATGTGTACAAACCAGTGAAATTGACTTCAAACTATGTTTGTTTGGCAGGTACATGTACGTATTTTTGTATGACTTAATCACTTTTGGAAATGAAAGACGGTGTTTTTAAACATACAAAATCCTATGCCAGATGTAACAGGGACAAGAAGAAATTGGACCCCAAATCTATAGAATGACCTGTATTACAGGGTTTCCGGGGGGCGTACAAATGATCATCAGTACAGAATTTGAGATTGAAAGTTGTCATTATTTGGAATGGTACATCACTGACTCCACACCAGGGTCTCACCGGGAATTGAATTCTGGATGGGTTAAAGGACTTTCAGAAGGTTATACTCGGACAAAGTTGAGGGTGGGGAAACTTTCCGAAGTGGGAGGGGGGGGACTGAAACAATGGTCTATAAACTGTGAAGTCAGCCAACTGTGAAGTACATGTACATTGGGCATTGCATGGGACGCTACCAGCACATAGATACATGCACTACATGTTGAATGACACAAAACCAATTAACGCTGCTCTTGTCTTTTCCCAGTGAAAGTACAGATTTATGTCAAAGACACTGGCTTTATTTGCATACAAATAGAAGAACGTTGTCACCCATTTTCAGAATGGAATAAACAGTTATCAGGGTAGCACATCATTTTTCCAGCATGGCTCATCATTTTTTGCCAGAACTGGGGAATTCTTCTGCGATGTGTGGGACTGAGGTCCCAAGAGGAGAGCCTGGTGATGTTGAACTTGAGCTAGGATGTTCTTAACGTAGGACTGGAACGGTTAACTACAATACGGAACAAAGCCAAACTGGTATGGAAGGGAAGAGGGGGAAAAACATGCAAGAACAAAGCTGTCGGTTGTAACGATTAATACGGGGCGATGGATTCATGCATCACAGAAAACTCTTTAGGCTGTTCAAAATCTTCAACAACTTATTAAGCTTTCTGTCGACCAAAAGAAAAACAGCAGCATTAAATTCATGAACACATGCAGGATTAAGCCAAAAAACATGTAAAACATGGTCAAGCCAGTTTGGAACCAAAATCACTTTGAACTTACTCAAGTTGACTTGGAACCTGTGGGGTGGGATTAAAAGGGATTAAACTGTGGAATGGGAACGGGTCGTGGGGAAAATAATAAACAGCATATTCCTTCATTAAATCAATGTCACAGATCAATGGAAACATCCAAAATGTACATGTATATCAAAAAACACAAACTTTCTCAAATTTGAAATATTCTGGATGTACAAAATTTTAAAATTCATGGAAATTCAACACGTAATAATTTTCAAGTGACTGGTAACATGACAAACTGCACGGTGCCCAGATTGTTAAATATCCTGAGCATGAGATTTTCCTGCTCGGGGCTCGACAGGGGAATGAATTATTTTTTCATACTGAGAGCTGATAGTACATGACCTCTACTTCAGGCCACAGATAAGTTCTAAAGGTTGTGTCAGACCCAATGTTCAATGAAAAGTGACGCACGACTTCACTGGCTTTCGCAATGTTAATCTTCCCACCACCAACATAATTATGCTACCAGCAGAAAAAGAAACAGAACGTGTTTTGTTTCACTCATGTGATCTGATCACCAGTGACTGTAGATCCCAAGCACCATGTGCAACCATGAGTGCATACATGTATATATGCACATACGCCCAAATCACATGCACAGTCAGACAACTTGTCTAGCACTGTAAACAGATTTCAAACATGTCAGTAATTGCTTCCATGACATTTAGCAGCATTTCCTTTAAGAAAGTCTTCACCATCACTTGATCGGTCCAAAACCTGTCCTGCATTTGAAACAGCAAGCACGCCACAACCGGGTTGAAACATTTCTTAAATAAGTAGGCAATGACTTCCATTTTAAGCTAAAAGACAACGCAAGAAAAATTTGATTCAGAGGAAAATAAACTCCATTATGCAGTTTGCAGTGGTTCAACTCCAGTTATAAGACAGCGTATGCACGTTGATTCAAAAGCATAACTGGTTTTTGGCACGTTTAAGTATTGGCAACAATCTACTCATAAATGTACCAGTAGATGCACGAGGGAAACACTGGTCAGGTGACAGTAACTTACTCCGTCACTCTTGTTCTGTTTCAGAAGAAAATCAACCACTTGCCGATGGTGCTACATGTATATTTTGGGCCCAAAATGTTGACTCTCAAAACAAGCGAGATTTACCGGTCAAACACTGATTTGCAGGAGTTATTTGAACAATATTAGTACACTGTTTCTCATCAAGACCTCATGAATATTTTCAAAACTCTGGGGCATTGCCCATGGAATGATATTTGCTATCTGTACTACGACAAGCCATTCCCGTGGCCAAGTTTAGGTTCAACACATGACAGACTTGTCAAACTAGGTGAGTGCCTGTGTGTGCACAAAACAAATGGGGGACTTATACACATGTTCAGATGCCATCCAGAGGCAAATTGAGGTGGGCCTAACAGTTGGTCAGCCCTGCCTGTGTGCACAGATAGCCAGACGGTGTTAACTCTTCCACTGGCACGGAATGGCTATGCATACAGTTGAATTTGTTCCCCATTTAAACAAATCAAGAAACTGTGTGTGTTTTTAGTGTGGGAATTTCTCAAAAATCTCTGTTGACTCCCCCTTCCTGTATCCATAAAAAACACTTCTGCAAAAGTAAACTGTTTTGCCAAAGGAAACTGTTCTGTCTCAACGAAAGCTTGCACACGTATTTGACCCTCTTACATAAACTCACCATCATCAACTACAGCCACCACTGACCCCTGTCCCATGATGCCTAGCTTCCAGACCGGCGCCAGGTTCATGTCCACGCCTGGCGTCGCATCGTTCTGACCATCATTGTGCTGAAAAGTGAATTCCGAAATCATCAACCGCATACACCGTATACATTAGTGTCCATTCAGTCTAAATGAACTTCACCCCATCCTCCAAAAAGGACAGAAAACTTGTCCACTCCTTCACTCTGAAAATGTGTCTGGAAATTTTCTTTACGGACGGTGACCAAAGATATCAAATGGAAAATGTGAACAGTTGCATGATCATTTCAGAGGTACTTGTAAGAGTCTGTAAATGACTCTAGTATGTTTTGTAAATATAAAGATCAGAACTGTTCTATCAGATTCTCATTATTCTGCTAAATGTAAAAGTGCTACGCACATTGTACATGTCTGCAAAGGGCATAAAACAATAAATTGTATGTGACTAGTTAGCAGGAGTGCAAGGGACAAGTACATGTAGAAACCTACCAGATACCACTGATCAGGGAACCGGGGATCATTGAATGGCGGTACGTAATCGTCACCAGTTTGGTTGTGAGAAACAGCTGCTGCATCTCGCTTCTCGTGGAAATGCGTTTCCTGTTGTTCCACCCACGCTACCTGAACGTGACAAGAGGCGCGACAAATTAAAGGGCCTACGTAATGCAATTTTTTTTTTGTTTTTACATTTGCAATCTTTGAAAATGCACTTTTGAGTTTCCAGTCTAACCTCCATTAAATTTTTACTTTTGTCATATTTGTCAGCAATGTGGAACTTTGCTTTTTTTATGCTAATTATGCACATACTATATCTGCATGTAGGTCCAAAAGTGAGATGTCACTTTAACAAGATTCAAGACAACATCCTCCTTTTTGCCGTTAACAAAACTGAGATTTTCTAGAAGGGAAACGCTGGGACTTATTTTGAGTGCCGTATTCAGGTCATTAGTAATCCTACGCATACAAGCCTAGGGTGAAAGGTAATCATTCATTAATTTTTATGAATTTTCAAACCCACGTTCAATTAAACTGGATTAAAAAAAAAATCCCATCCAATCTCGCTTTACACAGCAGGTGGTTTTGTCGGATCCAAGTCCCACATTATGGGTTAACGTCCACTCTCGGTGCACAACATTTCTGTACCTGAAATTTTCAATCTGTATCAGCCTGCTGACGAGTAGTGGGTTTTTTGGTCACAAACATGTGCTGTCTCACACCAAGTCAAAGACCAGCATTTGTTTCTGGTCACCTGGATACTTGTGACGGGTCTTGTGAGAGGGCAAGCATTGAACTTGACTACACCAATACAGGAGTCACATGTACATGTAGCATAGTGCTAGCTAGCTGATTGTAGAGCTGTGACATGCATACATGTACATGTACTGGTACATGTTTTATGTACATATTGACTTGTTTGGCTACATGTGGTTGAAGTGAGCCCAAAAAATGACACACATACTGTTATTTTACATGCGAGTGATCTTGGGTCAGACAAGCTTTTTAACAACAGAAAGAACCATTTTAGCATTTTCACGGCTCCATTTTTAAAATTCCTCCTTGAATAGACCTTGCTGCAACCATAGAGCCAACTAAAGTGGACGGAATCCAGACAGATCCTTGACAACAAAGGCACTACTGTCCCTGAAGCATTATTCACTGTGCTTGTGTAGTCTGCTTTACAAGTGCTGGAGTCAGATTCCACCGTATGGACACCTACATGAACATGTACGTGTGTCCAGAAATTAGGGGTCCAAAAGTGTGACATTTTAGTGTCCCTGTTACATCTGACCTTTGTCATTTGACATGGAAACATCATCAGAATTGATTTCAAACTATTACTATTTGTTTGGCAGGTAATTTGCATTAATTCGTCACTCTTGGAAATTGGAAAATGTGTTCTGAACTTACAAAATCATATGTCAGATGTGACAGGGACACACAAAAAATGGATCCCTAATTTCAGGAATTACCCACATGTATACATTATCAAATGCTGGGGGAGGGCATTGGAAATGACAGGATGATCCAACGCATGCCCAACTCAGCGTCAGTGCAAAAACTGCATTCAATTACTGAATGTGAACAAAAGTACCGGGAGTTGGAAAGTTTTGTACATACCGGAGCATGTACATGTACGTGTATGCACTCACCTGCATGTTCCATTGCATTTTTTTACACACTTTTTGTACACTGCACGTGTATTTACAGTATAATGCAATTGAAAGTTAACACTGTGAATTGGGCTGGGAACCTGGTGGGAAAAAAATCCTTTTTCACATTTCACTTGTACAAAAATCTGTGAAAATCTGTTCCCCATTTTTTTCACAGGAAATTTTCCACTTGTCGGTAATTCTTGGAAAATCTTTTCCCACTTGTATGAAAATCTTTGAAATTTTTTCCCACTCCGGGAAAGTTTTTTTTTCACATTTTGTGAAGTGGAACTGAATTCCTAAGGGGAAGAGAAAAAGTGCAAAAAGATCAATTTTCCCATCAACGGGTTACCTTCCAATACACAGCAATGCATTCATGTCGGCCAAAGGTCAGATTCCTAAAGGCTCACAGGTAAAAAAACAACAGCCTTACCCTTGCATCTTCTACCAACAGACTGGTGACGTCCACAGCCTGTCTTCGTGACCTCCTCTCATGGTTATCCTTCTGGAGGCTGTACATATTCTCCAGGGCACCAATCTGCATTCATAGGGTCAGACACAGGCCCACGAGGATTCCGTTAATCATGTTTATGTATACACCATATTTGAATCAAGTTAAGTGTAAATCATTTCATTACGATCTTCCGTAATCAAAGCCACTTCAAATAAAGAAACATTTTCTAGGGCTGTGCCAAGTATCTGAATAACGGATCAAATATTCAAATATTTTTTTCTGAATTTGAATGTTCGAATGCAAAATTCATGAAAAGGGAAAATTTTCTTTTCTTTTGAATGAGAAAAAGTGCACTGTGGAAGCTTGTTTCAAGCAGATTCAAATGAAAAGCAACAAAAATCTTGCAAATTCAAAAAGCAAATTATTCATTAAACGATTTAAAAGGACTAGAAATTTTTAACAGGGCAGAAAGTGTTGTTCATCTCTCAAATCTTGCTAAATCATGGCTGGAGACACTCCTAGATGTGAGAAGCTATTATATTGATTATAATGTTTAATTGTGTGTGTTATTGCAACTGATTTTGTATCTGGTTTGTTCATTAACAATCTCCCAGTCAGTACGACCGAATATGTGGATATTCAATCAAATTGAAGGTCAAGTACATGTATCTAAATAGTGAATTATTTCAATAAGCAATTTGCGAGTTATATTTGAATAAAATCTAGTGCATTGAGTTACATGTATCTGACTACACATAAACATTACGATTTGAGTTCCCCAGACTAAAAACACTGTTGCTACATGTAAATGACTAAACCTGTTCTGTTCCTCTCAGAAGTGGAAGAGAATGGCTGAACCTGTTGTTTCCCCTCAGATGTGGAAGAGAATGGCTGAACCTGTTCTTTTCCTCTCAGAAGTGGAA